GAGGATTTGAGTACAAGAAACATCAGAGTGATCACACTTATGAAATAATGGTAATGGTGACAGTGCTGGAAATTTTTCTATTCCTTTTTCAAGTATTTATACTGGGAACCAATTTTCTTTATCTCTAAGTCTCTATCGCCTGTGGTTTTTCTTTTTCTCTTCTGAATTTGATATCATTATCAAATTATTTGATAATGATTATCAAAAATGATTTGGTAGTCAGTTTTGTAACCTAAGATATTTAAGTACAAAAATAGTTTAATATGTATAATAATGTATATATAGGACTGGAGAGCCAGCTCAGCGGTTAAGAACAATGGCTGTTCTTGCAGAAGACCCAGGTTCGAATTCCAGCACCCACATGGCAGCTAACAACTGTAACTGCAGTTCCAGGGAATCCAATAGCCCCTTCTGTCCTCCATGGACATTGCACGACATGGGTGCACTTACCTATATGCAGGCAATACACACATACACATACAATAAAAATTAAAATAAAAATTAAAATAAATAATGAATATATGAAATATATAACATGTTTATGTCATTTTTACATTGTAATTATGTAATTTTGAGCTAGTATGATGTTTCACTGCCTGTAATCCCAGCACTCAGGAGGCTAAGGCAGGAGGATTGCCCTGAGTTCAAGGTCAAGCAGGACTGTAGTATGAAATCCTGTTTTAAAAAACAAACAAGTAATTGGGCTGAAGAGATGGCTTAGTGGTTAAGATCTTGTACTGCTCTTCAGAGAGCCTCAGTTGGTTCCCAGTACCCACATTGGGTGGCACACATTCACCCGTAACTCCATCTCTAGGGAAACCAACACCCTTTTTTGGACTCAAATGTGCATATGCCTTCCCCTCCCCCCATAATTAAAAACAAAATAAATCTTAAAAAACAAACATTTTAAGAAATAGAAAAGAATTTGAAGCAACAAACTGGTTTATAGAATCGAGTAAGACTGGTTTGACTGATGCCTTTGCCACCTTTAAAGAGAGAGAGTGCTGCCACGCTCCCAGCCCCTGGCTAAGGGCACAGGTGATTTAGTAAGACAAAGTGGATAATCAGGTCTGCTTGAGAGGCACGTATATCTTTGTTAAAATAATATTGTCTGGAGGTTGAGGTGATAGCTTAGTGATAGGGCTCTTCCCTAGCACGTAGCAAGCCTTGGATTTGGTCCCTAGTATGGGGTGGGGGTGAAGGGGTGTCTGGGGAAATTTTATTTTAGGAGTATTTTAAGCATATAACTAAATCAGATTCACCATGCAAGTTTCTGACATTTAACTTCTGATATAGTTTTTCTTATAGTAATAATTCCACAGTGTAGATTAATCATTTGGCACTATATTCATTTTTCTATAGCTGCTGTTACAAGTTATGAAAAATGAAGTGGCTAAAGGCAGCACATTTATTATCATAGTTTAGAAAGTCAGAAAAGCAGTTGCCTTACTGGTTTGCTATAAGGCTTATGAGGCTGAAGTCGAGGAGTTGGCCAACTTGATCTTTTATCTGGAACCCCTGGGAAAGAATCTGTTTCTGGGTTCATTCAGGTTATTGGCTGAATTTACTGCCTTGAGGCCGAAAGATTGGTGCCTTTGATTCCTTACTGGCTGACTGTTGGCTAGAGTTTGTTCTTGGCTTCTAGAGGCTGCCCTGACTTCTGGCCTCCTTTTACCATCTCCAAAGCCAGTGATACTGGGAGTCTTTGAGGGCTGTTGATGTAATGGTTTAGAGCCTCTGACTTCCTGCCTTATCTTTTTTTTTTTTTTTTCCAATTTAAAACAAACTTATTTTATATGTATGTTGTAAAGTGCCCATGGAGGCCAGAAGAGGGTGTTGGATTACCCTGGAGCTGGAATTACTGACCTAAATTTATTAGCTGCCTTGTGATTGCTGGGAACTGAACCCAGATCCTCTGCAAGAGTTGCCAGTGCTTTTAACTGCTGAGCCATCTCTCCAGCCCCATTTTCCTTATCTTGTTTAATTTAGCAGTTTCTCTGATTCTTCTGCCTTCCTCTAATACTTTTTTTATTTTTATTTATTTAATAACCACATGATTAGAAGCATTTCATTACAGCTTTAACATACTCAATAACAATTCCTAGAGCAAAGGTACATCTCTTTCAAAAGTAGCTGTAAATTTTTAGGTTCACAGTTGAATTAATACAGTTATATAATATTGAACTCAGTATAAACTGTAAGACATAAAATTGAATGAGTTTTTAACCTTTTAAAAAGATCTCCATTTCTTTTAATATTTTTATTTTATTTTATTTTCATTTTTTTTATGTGTATGAGTGTATTGCCTGCATGTATGTGAGTGCACCTGTGTCATGCAATCCCTCGGAGGTCAGAAGAGGCTTCAGATTCCCCTGGAACTGGAGTTAAGGAAGGTTTGTAGCCGCCATGTGGGTGCTGGGAATTGAACCTGAGTCCTCTGCAAGAACAGTCAGTGCTCTTAACCACTGAGCCATCTCCCCAGCCCCTCCATTTCATTACATAGTTTCCTACAAAAAGGCTCATTTTTTATGCTACTAACACATTTGCACATATGTCTCTAATCTCTATGTATCTGATTATTACTAGTCACAGTCGGTTACACTCAGATCATTCCTCTTTGTTTTTGTTTTTTGAGACAGGGTCTCCCTGTAGCCCCAGCTGGACTGGAACTCGCTATGTAGATCAGGCTGGCCTTGAACTCAGAGATCTGCCTGCCTCTGCCTCCCACATGCTGGGATCAAAGGCATGCGCCACCATGTCCTGCCAGATCATTCCTCTAATACTTTCAAGGGCTTCTGATTTCTTTGGGCTCAGCTAGATAAATCAGGCTTAGCTCCCTACTTTGTTAGTTGATTAATAACTTTACATCTTCAGGTTCTTTTACCCCAGTACCTAGTATTTGATTGAATAATAAAGAGACCAGAATCTTGGGAGGAGTGGGAAATGTTTAGAATTCTTCCTACTTTGGATTTCACGGCACATTTGTTCATAGCACATTTACGTGGGTCTCTTAAAAGATTAGAAAGGAACTAGGGATATAACTGTTGGTAGAGTACTTACCTAGCATGCATGAAGCCCTGGGTTCCATCCTCAGTATCACAATAAACTAGGTGTGGTGGTACACTAGTAATCCCAACACCTGGGAAGTAGAGCCAGCAGGATCAGTAGTCCAACTACATAATGAGTTGGAGGCCAACCAGGGCTACATGAAACTCTGTCTTAAAAACAGAAAAACAAAATAAAGCATTCAAAGTGACTCAACATGAGTCTGATTTTTGTTATACAGATTTCTGGGCCTATACTCCCGAGAGTCAGGTTCTAGACTATTAAGAATTAGTCAAAGAAAAACTGCTTATAAGAGTTCCTGGGAGATGCCCGACATGGTGGCAAACGCCTTTAATCCCAGCACTCAGGCGGTAGAGGCAGGCTGAGCACTGTGAATTCAAGGCCAGCCTGGTCTACATAGCAAGTCCCAGGCCAGCTGGGACTACATGGAGACCCTGTCTCAAAAAGACCAAAAAAAAAAAGGTTCCTGGGAGACAACTAACTAGCCTTTTCCTACAGTGTTTGGTCTTTTCAAAAACATTTTTAAGTGGTTTGTTTTTTTTGAAACAGTTTCAAACCCAGGCTGGCCTCAAACATGCTGTGTAGCCAAGAATGATCTTGAATCTTGGATCCTCTGCCTCCACCTTCCAAGTACTAGGTTTACCAGTCTCTTATGAATTACATCTTCACTGACTTGAAACAGCAACACAAACACTCCCCCTTTGTCAGCTGCACAATAAATGAAGGGCTGGAGTTTGGTGAGAACAGCTGTGGCTTTGAGTTCATCTCACCAGTGACTAGGTCTTCAGAAAACTGACTTATTCCTTCCAAATCTACATAAGAATATCTAGATCCAGATTTTGTGTGTGTGGTGGTGTGGTCCAGGGGACTGGAACTCAGATCCTTGTTCATGCTACCATTGAGCTATAGTCTCAATCCTCAGATTTACTCATTTGAAAGAGTAAAATAACTCTTTATGAGATAATTATATAACTTAGTCATAGTATAGTCATGCTCAGGCCGCGTAGGAAAGCTGACTGAGCTCTGTAGCTGTTCTGGGCATCATGTCTTCCACATAATGCAGAAAACATTGTTTTACTCCAGCCATATCCACTTAACTTACTATGTCACCCTTTTCTCACATCAGCACCCATATAGGGTGCTGAATTCGGGAAGCCTTTAGCACTTTGGGACTACTGAACTTCAGGGAGCCTTTGGGGCTTTGGGACTACTGATAACGTTCTTCATTGTAGCCAATCTTACCTATTTCAATAAAATCTTTCCTTCTGTGGGAAGGGTGACTAGCTTTTGACTTTCTACACTCAGCCACTAAAAACTTGATTTCTTTGCATTATGAAGCATCAGATAACTTTAAATGGTTTTCAGTCTTTTTATCATCTCACAGTGATGTATTTTGGGAAGTTATTCATGCTGTGGTGGGTGGTGCATTAATCAGGATTTCTGAATTCTATACCTATTTTTGTCTTTTAATTCTTAGAATCTTGAGCAAGTGAAGGCAGCTTTTCTACCACACCCTTTATACCAGCAATTCTTAAACTTTATCACCTGAGACCTTAGAATTATAGATTTCCAGGTCCCATTGTTTGAGATTTTTGGCTTATACTCGGTATGGTCAAGTTTTGGTCAGGAATCAAATAACATTGATTCAACTTAAGGGAAAAAAATGTCTTTTTTTCCCTTCTGTAATACAGAAAGTTTTTATTATAAAGTTGTTAAGGAGTACTTAGTATTCTGAAACAGTTTTAGAAATAACAGACTTTTCCGTTAATGTGTGAGTTTTCATATTTACATATCTTGATAGTTCTTGCCAGATTGAGTATGGTTGGTATGGGTTTAATAATGTGTTCTCTGTTAGATCTCAGAACAGCATATATCCATATTCATAGTACGAGCTTAGATCAAAATGTATTGGTTATTACTGTGATTTTACTAATGGGACTGAATTTTTTTTTTAGTCACCAACAAAGCTATAACAATTTTTAAATACCTGTGTAATCTGAAAACCTCCGTGTGTTCTTTTTTTTTTCTTTATATTGTAGAAAATTTCAGACATACACTAAAGAAAATGATGTTATTTATTTTATAGCACCTACCTGTGCACTACTTTGTGGCTTAAAGTAGTAACCATTTCATCCCCTCCCACAATTTTTCTGGCTTGGGGGTTCAGATCAGGCACAGAGAAGTTGGTCCTCAGCTCTACTTCCTGGGGTTATAGAGCCCAAGTGACTTTCTCACATACCTCTGGCACCTCATAGGAGGTTTTCAATTTACTCCTCAGCTTCCTCTCAACTGAGGACATGATTGTTCTGCATAGTCTCAGGGCCACTCTCTTCATGTGGCCTCCCCACATGGTCTTTTCAGCAAGGAGGATAGCTTTTTACTTGGTGGCTATATATAAAATATAAAAATAGAAGGTACCAAGTTTTAAGTCACAAGTCTAACCCCTACTAAATGAGAATGCTAAGTTCATCAGGAGCTACCATTGAAACCAACTACCACATATAGTATATTTCCATATATCCATCACCAGCTCTTAAAATTACCATTTCATGGGGCTAGAGATATGGCACAGCAGTTAAGAGCACCTACCACTCTTGCACAGGACCATAGTTCAGTTTACCCATCTCAGACAACTCACAACTGCCTGATACTCCAGCTCTAGAGGATCTGATGCCCTCTTCTGGCCTCCATGGAAACCTGCACCCAGATGCTGGACATACCCACACAGAGGTGTGCACATATACACATAATTAAAATTAAAGGCACTGAAGAGATGGTTCAGTGTTTAAGAACACTGGCTGCTCTTGCAGAGGACCTGGATTCAATTCCCAGCACCCATATAGCAGCTAAAACCATCTGTAACTCTAGTTCCAGGGGAATCCGATGCCCTCTTTTGGCCCCTGGGTGTTGTATGACGTGGGTGCATTTTACATGCAGGTGAAACACTCATACACATAAAATGAAGATAAATAGAATAGCCAGGTGTGGTGGCCACACCTTTAATCCCAGTGCTCTGGAGGCAGAGGCAGGTGGATCTCTGTGGGATGGAGGCCAGCCTGGTTTCCATAGGGAGTTCCAGGCCAGCTGGTAGAACTAGGAGATCAGGTATTCACAGTAATTGTTGACTACATAGCAAGTTGGAAGCCAGCCTGGTTTATATGAGCCCTTGTCACTTCCAGCCCCCCAAAGAGTGACCTATTCTTTTGCTTAAATGAATGTAAACACATGTTTTATTTCTAACTTTCTTAGGTAAATGAGAATGTACAGAAATATATGTCTCCAGCCAGGTGTGGCGGTACACACTTTTGATCCCAGCACTCAGGAGGCAGAGGCAGGTGGATCTCTGTGAGATTGAAGAGAAGTATGTCTCTGGATGTGTTACATACCAGTTACGGGCGATAATATTAATTAGAGTCCCTTATAGCTAATGAAGGTTGGGATGGGAGAAACAGAAACTAATATATCTTAGGGGCCTCTGATAAAGTCTGCGGGGTGGGGTATCTGTTTGCTTCCACATGTGCATGAGGGTACATGTGTACATTTGTGTGCATGCATGTGGAGGCCAGAAACCAATATCAGGCATCTTCCTGAAACAGTCTCCACCTTATTTTTTGAGACAGGTTCTCTCACTGAAGCTGGAGCTCACTAATTCTGCTAGATAGTCTGGCCAGCAAGCCCAAGGGATCTGTCTGCCTCTGCTTTCCCAGTGTTGGGATTACAGATGTACATGTCACATTTTTAGTCTTTTTAAAATATTTTATTATTTTTACTTTATGTGTATGAGTGTCTTGCCTGCATGTATGTAAGGGCACCTGTGTTGTGCAATGCCCATGGAGGTCAGTAGAGGGCATTGAATTCCCAGGAACTGGAATTACAGATGGTTGTTAGCTGCCATGTGTATGCTAGGAGTCAAACCAGGTCCTAACCACTGAGCCATCTCTCTAGCCCCTAAGTCTTTTTTTTTTTCCTTTTCTTTATTTTTTTGGGGGGTGTGTTTTTGAGACAGGGTTTTCCTGTAACCCCAGCTGACCTAGAACTCACTATGTAGACTTGGTTAGCCTTGAACTCACAGAGATCTGCCTGCCTCTGCCTCCCAAGTGCTGGGACTAAAGGTGTATGCCATCATGCCCCAACAGCCCTGGTCTTTTTAAATTATGTACTGCAATTGGGATTTTTGGGTGTCATTTCTGTCTCTGTTCTCAGTCAAATCTTTTTTTCTCCTTAGACCTCAGACTTTCCTGTTCTTGATCCCAGCTGGACTGCTCAAGAAGAAATGGCTCTTTTGGAAGCTGTAATGGACTGTGGCTTTGGAAACTGGTAAACATTTAATGTTGAGTGGTTCTGTCCTCATAGGCTCAAAAAAGAAACTGCTATTGAAACGTAAAGGGAGGAACCCCAGAAATGGAAAAGCTGTACTGCTTTCCTGTTGACTAGGGGACAAGTTCTCTTCCTTGTACACATTATCTTCCAGGCCTGAAATGCACTACAGGAGTACAGGATGCTTAGTGGTCCATGACCTAGCGATCTAAAAGGTCACTTTGGCTATGTTAACACTGAGAGAGTTGTTCCTTCATGAATAGCGAAGAAGTGTAGATTTACTAATTATTGTTCCCTTTCAGATTTTTTAAATTATTTATTTAATAACCATATAATTAGAAGAAGCATTTCA